CCCCTAATATTAAAACCAAACCGCCGAAATCCAGTTTTAATATTACGGAGGGGGGGGGCCCTTTAATAATAGGGGGAAGCGATTAGGCTGCGTGGAAGGCAAGGGCATGTCTCGAGAACACTAACAGTCACTGGCGGCCTACCAAGCCCTGCGACCAAGCTGCAAGAGGCTTCAAAAAGGTCCGGAATCGCATCAGGATGAAGGAAAGATGGTGGTGTCAAAGTGGTCTCTGGATAGCCTGGTCGCAGACTTTCGCGCGGCTCTTGCCTACAGCTAACCCAGACTCACCCCGTTTCGTCGGGATATAGACGTTTAAACACGCTTGAGCGCTCACAAATTCAAGCAGTCAGTACCTTCTCCAAAAGCAAATCCGGGCCCTCAGGTAGCAAAATCCTGAAAGCCCTGTAAACCCTATACGCCCCAAGGCTTGGAGCAGGCTTCTTCATTGTCGCCGCTTTTCTCTCCAAGAGGCCGGGGTCGGAGAGCCTCTTCGGAGAGAGGACCTGAGGACAGGAAGGCACGGGAAGAACATGTGGGTAGTTCTCTAAATTAGGGTCCCTTTTTAGGGTCCTTATTATAACGGTGCCGTACTATATTGCGGAACCAAAAAGGGGACCATTAGAGAACTACCCATATGGATGTTTGCGGGTTAGAGAGCGTGGAAGTCTTCTACGGACAAGCATTGCTGCTCGGTGGGGAACTGAACAACTGGAAAGTCTCTACGGCAGCAAATCGTGCAGTCTCCGGCACCTGGACCTCCGCCTTCAGCGTGCATGGGGCCAGAACCTGGCACAACGACTCAGCTCACAATGAACAAACCAAAGGATGCAGAAGCACAGAACCTTTTCTCACACTTTCTGATCCGCCCTGGGGACTGGGGAGCCACCTGAATGTGAAGGACCCTCGCCTCACGAAGCTGACATGCGCAAACTTTCTGTGAATGGCTGTGTCCTGCTACCAATGGCTACTGTAGAATCCGTGCGCAAGCCCACTGGCTACAGATCCTCCCATGTTTGGGCCTGGCTCTCGATCTTTGGCGCACAAGAGCAAAGCATCTCTCCATGGCCGCTTTGTGCACTGAGTGGATGCCTCGTTAGGAAGCCTTCAAGGTCGGGACCCTTAATGGGAAATGATGAGGAATCTCCTGGAGCAGCTCCGTGGCTCCATGCTCTCACACTTGGAATAGCTTTGTGGCCTTGAGTTTGCTCTTTGAACGCAATGTGACTTGGGCTCAGCCTAAAGTGGTGCGCAGAGGCCTGCACGCCTCATGCCTTCCTCCGAGCCGTAAGGCAGCACAGCAAGATAGCCGCAATATCTGGTCGTATAAGCCTTGACAAATCGTAGAAACCTTCTGCCAGAAAACAAGCATACCTGGATAAAGAGGCTTTGCCGAGTGGGAACCTGACACCTGCATCAAGTCTTCTGTATGTCTCTGTCACCGTCAAACACACCTGCCATATACTCTCGACATGAGCTAATCCTCCAAGATCTAATGCAACTTCCGGCCATTGCAAGCCTGCCATCTTCTCAAGCGCGGCAGCTCAGGAGTAACGCATGGACTGTGTCTTCTGTGCTGCCTGCCGTTTTCCAGGCCGGAGACCTGGAGTCCCAGTCTGGAGACTGATGGGCTCTTCACCTCTCAGACTCTCAGCCATGCCCCGTAGATGAACGGTTGGTGGAGGGCCCATCGCCCCCGGATGAATCAGAACAGTGCAGCCTTCGCGTGCCAGCATGTGCCAGCAGTAGGTTGCCCTGGAGGTCTGAGGCCAAAAGCCGTCGGTTATACCCGGCCCATAAGAATCTCGTTCCAGACTGTGACGACTATCACTATCATGAACAGTTCAGCATGGCTTTCACGGCCAACACAGCGCTGTGAAACACCTGAGCTGAGGAATGCATTCGTCCACCTATGCAGAAACAGAGACCGATGGCATCACTGCCAGCAACAAGTCTGTCTAATGATGCTGAAATGCATGTATGAGTCGGACATCATTCCACCCAGCTCGTATTCAGGCGGCATCCCAGGCGGCGCCCCTTGCTGCTTCCGGATCTGAAGAAGAAAAGATATTTATCCTCAACCCGGAAAAGCGAGGCGTATGGAGCCCTCCAGGCCTCCGAGAAGTACCACAGCTACTTGCCAGGGCTTTTGCATTATAAAAGTCCTCATGTGAGACCAATATGAATGTAGGGACTTTGTCCGTGTACGAACACATCGCCTAGACATGGTTGCTGGCGAGGAAAACATCCGACAGCCCGGGACACTTTGACCGCTGGCGAAAGCAGAGGTAGTGGTACGAAGCTGAGCTACGAAAGGCTTCAGGCCAAGCATGGCAAAGCTTTTAGATCTTCGCTGCCAGTCTCAATTGCAGTCGCCGGGCCGGGGAGAGCGGAACGTCGTACTACGCACAAAGTGCCTTAGCAGGCCCTAGCCCTAGTGGTTTGAATAGTGCAGGATAGTGAATTCCACGCTTTGCGTGGAATTTTGTACCTCCTCGATGAGTACCCACGGAGGTCCTGTCCAGGGGCTCCAACTCTTGGCATCTGTTCAAGGCAAGGACGGAACTGGGCTGGTTAGCAGCCTTTGATCAAGGCTTTCCACTTCGGATCCCCATGCTGAGCTCCACAAACTTGGATGGCAGCTCTGGAACCTCGAAACTACCCGAAGCCCCTGTGCCTCGCATGCCATTGACTTCCAGGATGCCTCTCGTCGCAGTCGGCACGATTTATCTTACGAGTTACGTGCTTTCCACTTCCACCTCCTGCCTGCCGGTGCATGAGAATAAACCCTGGTGGTGGCAAGGATGCCACCATCTCTTTGGGAACACTCGAGCATCCGAATCTAACAGGCAGAACCAGCACAGAACACTTACGTCAAGAGAGCCGGAAAGCTGTTGTGGAGAAGCAGCAATACAACTGGCAACGCAGCCTTCCACTCATGTTGGAATCTGCAACACCAACCCGTCATCTCCTTAACGCCACCTGAGATGGATACCGTGGAAATTTGAGCCCAGCTGCGATCGTGGATGCCGACTCTCTCTTGCGGCTTCTCAATATTCCACCTGTTGCGAGACCAGTCTGCTCTACACCGCATGAGACATGACCCATCTCATATCACATGTTGAAATCTTGTCGCCTTAGGTTTGCAGGAAACTGATGACTAAGCAACTGTTCAGGCAACATAAAGTTGCAAAGCCAGATATCTTGTTGGACAGAACACGAGCTTTCGTTCGGAACAACGAGATCTTCCCTGCGCGTAGTACATTGGCAAACACCCGTAGCCCTCACGCAATGGTTGAAGATTCAGGGTCAGTAAGATCTTGCCTTGAATCTTGCACAGGAAGCCCCCTCTGCGCTTTCAAGATGCCTTGTGTGTTATGCATGGATCTGTGCCTACGTTCGCTCAGGTCAGAGAAGTGGCCTTGCCATTAGCCCAGCCGGATCGAGCTCGGCTATCCAGGGGCAAAGACAGCCGTGCCTGAGTGCAGGGCTTCTGGGGCGGTGAGCCTCCTTGAAACGAAGCTATGCCTGCAGCAGCTCTCTTTCTCGATGTGTTCATGACTCAGGTCGAAAGATTGCAACAAACGCTTGGAGTCTCCTGCCAACATAATACACGTTCTAGCTTTCTGATGGAACGGTCTAGCAGCAAACAAATTCAGCCCGAATCCAGTCGGCTACAGCCGAGCAGCTTCTTGTAATGGAGCGTTATGCCCACTTCCTCAGAGTATAGCTCGCATACTCAAACAATGATGGCGAGCAGGCCATGAAAGCAGCAGGCTGCAGAGTTCAGAGACCAGATTTCGTTTTGCAACTAACGGCCACTGTAGCTGAGATCAGCAAATTCTTCCGAAGCTCTCCAGTCAAGCGATCCGCTTTAGTTGTTGCTGCAGGATGAGACACGATTGCAAAGAACACAAGCCAGTCTGAAGTGTGGCTTGTTCAGGACGAGGCCATTGTGGCCACCATGCACATGTGCTAACTCTCTTATGCATGTATTCTTGCGACTCTTCATCACGGCAGCGTTGCTCATCTGCTCTTCCAAGGGAGGCATCCCGCGCAAGCAACCCCAACAAGCATTGCTCAACAGTTGTGGCAGCAGAGACGCCCCTGGCAGCTGAAGCCTGACCCGTCCTTGGCGAAACATGGCTTTCACGACCTCTCTTCTCAAATGGTGTTGTGATGCCTTGCAGTCTACAGGTGCGACTCGCAAGCTGACGGAGTTTCCCCGCTCCCGCCGGGCGTGTCGTAGCTTTAGAGCAGTTTCGTGGTTCCGAATCATTGCACTTGGCACGTGCGTGGAAGCAGGTACCTCCTTAATGCTTATGCTTTTGTATGTATGCTTCTGTCTGTCTGTCTGTCTGTCTGTCTGTCTGTCTTTCTGTATGTGTGTATGTGTGCATGTATGTAGGCAGGTCGGTAGGTATGTAAGATGTGCGCGTTTGCAAGCTGCCTGCGATGTGAACGAAGTCCAAAGGTTTGAGCACGGGTGCCCTTGCTTTAGCTCTTAATTTGGTTCAACTCCATATCCTACCGGAGCGAGAGCAGAACGGATGTTGCCTCAATCATCTGTTTATTCAGCTTAGAAGGAGACAAGGCATTGCCGATCTATTCCGCGGCTGTCTTCCTAGAGCATCGAAACATCGGCAGGACCCCTGGGCTTCAGCTTGCGAGGCTTCGTGCCAGCGGCTTCGACCCTTCAGACTGGTGAAGTGGTGAAATCGATTCCGGTGCAGTAGGAAGCCGCAGCAAAGATGCACATGGTGAGCTATCTTCCAGAGTGAAAGCCCTCACAAGACGTCCCCACTCTAGCTTCACGGCTCTTAAGCTTAAGCAGCTCAGGATCGTTCCAGAGGCCTTTGCAGAGTCAGACTCAGGCCTTCGGGCCGAATACGGCGAGTAATTAGCCGAGCCATTTCCTTGGTTTCATCCGCAGGGGGCGCCATGCCGCTACCTTCCCCTACTAGTATATTATATACCTTACTCAGCATTCATGTTTCAGTTCTGCAACAGGTAGTTGGTGCCAGCTCTTGTGACTCCCTCGGGCATGAAGGTCACGCTCTTTCCGAAACTCTTCCTTGAAGCCCTGCTGAAGGGCAGGGCTCTAGGCTTGGGCCACGGAAGCCGTTCATCTCGACGAGGTGATCGAAGGTGCGGATTCTTCGCCCCTCCTGCACCGACGCCAATGTATCATGCAGCAGGCGGGTATTACGCGAAACGAGTCGCAAAATTACCCACGCTTTGCTGTGCCATCTGACTTCGTCGGAAGTCCTAAATCTGCGACGAGTGTAGGCAGATGTAGGCAGGATCGGACCAGACACAAGGAAGGCATGCTGCTTGATAAGAGAAAGACTTAAGGTGAGGTTTGCTGTAAACCTGGTCAAGAGCAGGTGCAAGCCAAAGATGCAACGTGGGCAGGTCTGTCTCGGCATCACTTAAGTTCAAGAGTAGCGCCGGCACATCTTGGGTGCAATTGCCCGCCCTTTCTGCACTTCAGCTGAACATCAGTGACTGTAGTAGAGCCATGAAGTCAGAGTAAACCGCACTGCCGCTCCTCCGCCACACTATTCCATGTTGCTGCTAGTCCGTCTTCTCTGACGCTCCGGACGAGTGGGCACTCAGAGTCGGTGGCCTCGGCCGGCAAATGAGGCATGACCGTTTGTGAGCAACTTCATTCCGACCGGTACCCGTCAGGCCACAACATACGTTCTGCCTTGTTGAAACCCACTGTAGAACATTATCGCACTTGGCACTTCTAACGCTTCGGTCCCGCTGCTAATTCCTGACCTTTGCAACCACCCCCAACCCTGGCCTTGCGCGAACAGTCGCACAGGTGGAGCAAAGTTGCTGTAGGATGACGAAGGCTTACTGAGCCTACTGTTGCAGGAACGCGGGTGCATCATTTCGAACCCAGGACTATGCTCCTTTAAGTTGGTCAGTTTCCGATGCCTGCTGACCCAGGCCCTATCGACAGGAAGGAATGGGCCAGGCTTCCCTGCCAATTACCGAGCGATCGAGACGCAGGTGGGTTTTAGAAGGTTCCGAAGCCATGCAACTGACAGGCTAATGAGGTCCAGGGGGCATCCAGCACGATGCCAGGTGGCCGTGCTTGATCCAGTGATCTTATATCTATGCCGAGGCTCACAACCTGGGCACACGGGGAACTTGCAGAGAGGACTACTGCCATCATCTCTTGGTCCTTGCACATATTGAAGAAGTGGTACCATCCGGCAAGTTCCCATGGTTTTGCTGGGAGCAGTGATGGTTCACACTTTTGACTCCAAGGTCGGAAGCTGTAGCCCTACAAAGCTGTAGAGCAACTGGGTATCTAGGGTCCAAAACAGAAAGCTTGCATGAAGCTTCAATCCAAGGGCGTACATGGCATCGACGGTGGTGGCTTGATCTTGTAGAGCGCGTGCCGTCCTTGTGCGCAGGATGACAACATCAAGTGACTGCAAAGAAAACCAGACTTGAGCAAGAGCTGGCTTAGCAGATATGGCTCAAATGAGTGGAACATTGGTATAACTGATTTCCCAGGCTAAGTCGACCAGAACAAGGTGGTCTCAGAGCAGTCCTTGGGTCTGGCAGTGCTTGGCACTGCTCATTCTCATCAGTCAACTTGAGGCTGACGTTCTGTTCATCCGCTGCTTCGCAGCAGCAGAACATGGCATCGAGGGCTGCTACTCGTACTTGCCTAGCGATGAAAGCTGTGTTGGCTGTTGTTGTAGTCGTTGCTTTTTCCTGCGGCTTTGTTGCTATTGCTGTTGTACTTGCAGGGTTGTGGTGGCTTGGGTTCTTGTTCCTGCTGCTGCTGCTGCTGCTGCAGCTTTTGCTGCTGTCGCTGTTGTCGCATGTCGTCGCTGTGTTGTTGCATTGCACGTGCAGAATATTTCAGGTGTCTTTATTTGGCAAGCACTGACACGGCCTGCATGTTCAGGAGTCAAGATACTAGTTCCAGTGCGCTCTATCAGCCGTACATTTTCAACTATTGCCAGTTAAGCATACTTAGATATTTTGCCTGCGACAACAACAACGCCTGGGCCGATCCGCTCCGTGTCTTTGACACGGCCGGTCGAAAATTGACCCCTTGCGTGGTAGCTGGAGCCTGTCAAACGGTGACAGAAAAGACTGAGGCCACCTCCCTCCAGCTTCCCCTCTATGCCCCCACGTCGCCCTGCCCGTGCATGCCCTGCAGTGCATGGTAATGACATGCATGTAGTTGTGCGTCGTTTGTATGTGCATGCAGCGGCCCTGATCCTGGTCCTTAAGCCGAAATCCTAACCCTAAACTCCAAGCCTTGCACCTCAAATAACACGCACCCGCCTGCCAGGAAGATTGCCTTGGGCTCGCGACGCCCGCAGAAGCGCAAGGCAAAGGCTGGCTCTTCTGCAAAGTAACTGCCTGCGTAGATTTCTGGGGCTGTTTCTCCTGCTCTCACAGGTTTCGCAAGGATCATCTTTGCTACAGTTTGGTCAATCCCCGTTGCACGTATCGTGACCATTGCCTTTGCTTTTTTGTTGCTGACACCATTACGGCAACTCACTAAGCCATTGGGCATAGGCATCGCCATGTTGTTGATGGCAGTGGCGCAGAAGGATTATGGTTCTTCTTGCAACAATTTGCTTGACCACGACCACGAAGTTGAATGCCATTCATGTCAGTGCCTGAACTGTTAGCCCGTTCCCGAGGCGACACTTGCCGCAACGAATACTTATGTTACATGGGTGGTGGCCTTGCCTGTTTGTCAAGACCATCTGAACAAACATGACTTGCTGCTTTGTAGATATGACATTATTGCGATGATGTGATGTTGATGCTTCTGGTTGCTATGCTCTGAACTCTTATGCTTGACGTGGCGAGTACTGCGGCGGGGATTGCAACCTGTGTTCCTGACGGTGACGATGATGCTGCCGCTGATGTGCTCTTGCTCCAGCTGCTCTTTGACCAAACAGCCAAGTGATGTCATGTTGTGCAGGGAGCTTAACACGGAGACCTTGTGGTTCACATCTGCTGTCCATGTTCGGGAATTTGTGAGACTTCGACCGAAGTGGCGACGCCCCGCTGGCAACTGGCCTCGTCCCAACTTTGATCCATGTCGCCCGCTGTAGCCACGATTGAAACCGTTCTGGGCAATGTTCCCCACCTTAGAAGAAAGTCAGAAAGGGAACCTTTTGGACCCCAAGGACCGGAGTGTGCTTGCAAGCGCTACTTACTGTAATGCAGCACTGGTACCAGTATCAGTAACGTGCACATCATCATCAAATGAATGCTGTAGAAACAAGAAAAACGGTGACAGCATTCTGGAAACTGATCATATCTCTAAGTCTCGATGAATGAATCACTGACCCAACGTGTCTTCCTGGTGGCCTTTTTGACTGAAGCCTCAACATGACAACGTATCCAAGCTGTGGAGTGGCAGCTTGGGATATAATTCGAAGTGACCTAAACAGGGAAGGTCCGGCCACCGTCATGCACTCGCACTCTCGACACAGGCATCCCCAACTGCCGGCCGCGGTGCGCAGTCCCAGGACGTTCCTGTGCCGTTCGCGTATGTCAACGCAACAAGAATTACTGGTCGCAAAATCTTCGCGACCATACTGCACAGGATCCTTCAAGGATCAGCTTGTAGTACTGTAGGTGAAAACATAAACGCAATCGTGATTACTTCGAAAGGTAGGATATTTGCAATCGTAGCCGCAAAAGCCATGGGTACTAGCAAAGAAGCGGTAATTAGCGTTTTTGACATGGGTAATCACATGAGCATAGTAGAAAACTGTTTCTGGATTGGCCAGATACAGACAAACTGCAGCTGAAGACATACGAAGACCCAGTATGTTCCTATAAATAGCTGAACTAGCTTGGTTCATCACTGAACAACTGACATGTGATAAAGGCCCTTGGTTTTTGCTAGAATTCTGTGCCGGCAAGATGTCAGCCGATTTTTGCCTCCTGCAGCATTGCCGAGCGAGTAAATTCACATGCATGCCACTGACACGACAGCAAGTTCAATTATGCCAGTCGCTGGGAGTCAGGATTCCCCGTTGACACATTGCTAAAGTGCCGAAGCTCCATGCCAAAGCAGTCTCTCTGGCCCCAGGGTGGAGGAAACCTGACGCGCGCACGATAGAAAGCCGGGTTGACAAAAGTTCATCGCAACTTTTTGTGCCGACAGAAACGTACGTTAAGATTCCCCCAACGTGTACAGGAGATCTGTGTAATTAAGCTCCAAAAGCTCAGGTGCCCAGGATCCACAACGAACCCGCTTGAAGTTTCCTAAATTTCTCAGAGTTATGAGGGTTACGTACTCTTCAAACATGTTCAAAGTCTTTTTGGCATCAGGGGAGACGCTTTGCTGCATGGAGTCTTCTTTGCCAAGAAGCACTGCTGTATGCTGCAGCTGCCGCTCCACTGCACTCCACACGCAGCACACAGCGGATTCGGAGGGTGGGCATAGCACCTCACATGTGAGAAGACAGCCCAGAATTGGCGCAGCATAGAAGGTGCAGTGTTCAGGAGTCTGTAAGGTTGGTGGAGGCTTTTCCGTTGATAGTCAAGAAGATTGACTTCTGCTCTCTGGGTCATCCGTGGTGCTTTTTGCATCATTCTGAGTCTCTGGATGCCTGCACCAGGCTACTTCTCGTTTCGATCATGAACAGCCTTACAATTCAACGTCCCGAACCATGGTGCGCTGAACAAACGAAGCGCGGAGAGTGCTTCAGGACGGACGCCACATCCATGATGCCAGCTTTGTAATTGTCTACTTTCATCATCTTGGTGCCGTGCACTCGTAGGCTTGCGCCCGCCCGGGCCCTCCGCAAGCCAATTGCCCCACTCAAAACGATGGTCCAAGCAGCTTGCGAGCCACTTGTGAATGGCCTGCCGGAAAACACGACGCTTGACTGACGAAGCAAGGCCCAATGACACGTAAGTCCACCTGGACCAATTCGTATGTTTCTAGCTCCAGTCGCTCGCGTGTCACCGCTGAGAGCTTTCTGTGTGGTCGCTACATGAAGACGGCTGGGCACGGTACTCGATATGTGCAACAGAAAGAAGACGCCAGTGTACCGTTTAGACAGAACGGACTCACATTATGGAAACGAACAAGACGGAACACTCCATCCCGGCCTCGAGATCCGAACTGCGACCCAGCTCTGCAGAGAAGGGCGAGCTGTGCGGTCGGCCTTTGGATGTGCAGCAGGGGATTTGGTTTGCGTTCTCTGGGTTTTAGCAAGGAGCTTCGGTGCTGTTGCACCTGGCTGGGGTCGTGCTTGGCCTTGCAAATCCGGCGATTTACTTAAGACCTCAGAGCTTCTCGCTTCCTTGCCGAAGCCTTACGTACATGTTCTACCAGACAGCAGTCCGAGACACTGGACAGGAGGCCACGGGACAGAAGGCTGCGCAGGATCACTGACACGTCCACAGTTGCAGAGCTTCGGAAGGACGAAGAGAGTGCGTTCCTGGGTGGCCAGCTGTCGAGTTCGTGCATCGCTTGTTCCATTGTGGCATTCCCTCAGTCTAAGATCCCCTGGTTCTTGGACTTCCGCGGCCAAACTTGTTCGCAGGTCTCACCAGGGTCAGATTCCCAGTTGGTACCGCATCCCAGATACTAACTTTCAGGTGAGCTGCTGCGAAGCCAAAAACTTAGCCATGGAGATGGATCCTGCAGGAGCTTGCGCCGAGTGAGTGCGAGGCCCGCCGGCGGCTGGAGGCTCTTTGCTGCCTCCGGCATGAGCCTAACACCTACACCCAGACTCCGTTGATTATTCAAAACGGGAGAGCGATCTGAGTAGAAGCCAACCAACCCAAAGAACCTTCGGCTTCGTGGGTGGGTGCAAAGCACTTCAAGTGCATGACCTCAAATCACGATGCAAAGCCTAAGGCCTAAGGCTGCTTTCAGGTGCTTCCCTGTTCAATACGTCTCTCCTGTGGCTCCAAGCCACGAGGAGAAGTCGCCTCCAAGGGCGCCCGTGTTTCCAAGCGGGCGTCTACCGGAAATATGATGTGAAGCCGAAGCCTCTGATGTAAGTTTTGAATCATGCTACCTAAACTCCTAAAGCTTCCCTCTTCCAGCCTAGGGAGAGTCGCTTGCTCCGCGACTGCATGCGTCCGTCACGCGGTGTTGCTGAAGGGGTGTTGCTGGCTGGCTTCCTCGGTATCATCTTTCGGTGTCTTGCTGATGAGGGCATGTTCGGCCACGGCAAAAGACTGTTCCAGACTCTGCCCGCCAGCGCTCGTAAAAGCGGCAGAAAGTGCGCTGCAAGGAAGCCTTTGCACCGACAAAATTTGTGGTTGTAGCACTCAAGGCCGTCATGCCGGTCGAAAACCCTCAGTAGGTCTCGAATTTCATTCTAACCCTTGGACCTTCACTGCTTTTGCACGCCAAGCTTCTCGGAGGTGCCCGACTCCACTATGCCGGGCCCAGAGATCCCTTGCCGGCTGCAAGTTCAAGGTCGAGGTCCAAGAGCGGAGGCGCTAAAACCAAAAGTCTCGGGTCTTGCCACCCTGGGTCTGCACCTTAAACTCCAAAAGAAGATTCAATCATAACTATCATAGTCATATCAGTCATATCCACCCTCCTCAAGCTCAGCCCCTGCATCCCAAACTCCGCGGGCCGAGTGTCGAGGTGGCAGGCTCGGATGTGTCGGAGCCTTTGAGGCCCTGCCCTCCAGAAGCTGAGCCTGGAAAGCAAGACTGGTGTTGAAACTCTTTGCTTTCCTTTGCTCGGCTCCTCCCTCCCTCCCGCGGACTTTCGACGCTCACCACCGGCTCACGACGCGTGAGTCGTAGTACGAACGAGCTTCCGGACTCCCTCTCTTGTCAAAAAATCCAGAGAGCATACAGGAGGGAGTCTCAAAGGACGCCGGAGTAGACAATGATGCAACTCGACATGCTGCCCAAGACAACACGAACACATTCGAAGCCACATTAAAGAATCCATTCAGTCTAATCCGGCCGCTACAGCCTTCACTTTGATGCAGCTACAGACAGCAAGTGCAAGTTACCGGTTCGAAAGCAGCGACACGCGGCATCAAGTTGAAGGCAAACAAACTGCAAACTGCACGTTCTCCGCAAAGATGGGCAGGGAAAGTACTGTAGGGTGGTCGTCCAGATTCCAAGATGCTTCAGGGAAGTGCCCATCGCAAGCGAAAGGTGAAACTGCTGATGGCTCAGAGAGTCTAGCCTCTCACGACTCCAGTCCCACTCGCTGCACTTTGGCCTGCCGCTTAGTTGACACCGTAGAGAGCTGGTCCATTGGCCCAAGAAGGTGCATTGGCCACGAAATCGTCGATGGGAGGGAGGTTCTGCCAAGGAGAATAGTCAATGGGCTGGTTGCACACCTCCGCCCCGCCGCAAAGCTTGCCGACACCTGCGACGTAGTCACCGGTGACGACGTCCTGTGCGACGAGTCCGGTGATGGCCACCATGGCAAGGCGGCTGTTGTTCAGCTCCTGGCACTGGACCCGCTTCCATCCGTTCCAGATCTCGGAAGGGTAGTCCTCGTCGATGATTCCCTTCCACCCGAGCACGTCCCAAGGGCGGTCCTCAGGGGGCTTGCAGATGTAGGTGGTCAGCCACTCCAAGCACATGATGGTGAAGATCACCTGCCACATGCCTCCCATGGGGAGCTGGGTCAAGCTGACGAGGGGGTCGTTGCTCATCCTCTCGCCGATGGCATAATCACCCAAGAGGTGGTAACCCGCAGCCACGTGGAACCAGTGGAGCACTGCGAGCATTGCCACACGACCGTGCTTCAGCTCCATGGCCCTGAGCATTGCGATCTCCTTCTCGGTCTTGCCATTGGTGATGCCTGCCGGATCCCAGAAGTTGTCAGGGAGAGGACCACCCGTCCCGGCGATGATCTCCTGCGCTGGCGACAGTGCACGCAGCGGGGAGTCAGTGTAGAGAGACCAGTCACCCCATGCCTGTCCAGTCAGTCCGTTTTGGAAGAACATGCCAATGATAGCCATCATGGCCAGCCTGCCGTTTGCGATCTCGGCAGCCAGCTTCTTTTCCTTCTGACCCTCCGGAGCCTTCATGAAGCCATTGGGGATGCCAAGGAGACCCGCGTTTTCGAAGTCGCCCGGGGCACGCTTGGGATCGTCGACATACTGGAAGAGCTCCACGCTGCCTGCGAAAGCCACCATCTGAGCCCAGCCACTCAGAGGCACCTTGGAGAAGGCGGCGAAGCCAGTGGGGACATCCGTGAACTTCAGACCCAGGGAGGGAGAGAGATCGCCTGGCCAACGGTAGTACTCAGGGACAATATATCCCATGCATGCCAACATTGCCACACGCCCGTGCTTCAACTCCACATATCTTCGGCGGCGGAAGGAAGCCGCATCGCCGCCCTTGGTGAAGCCTGGCAGGGGCAATGCAACAGAATCCCAGGAAAAGCCCCGAGAGAGATGAGACACGCTGTTGTCTTTCGCATTCTGTTGTTTCGTCGCATCCCCGCCTAGAGGATCCCAGAACCCGGCCGGAGGCTGCACCCCGAGCTCCGTCTCAAAAGCGCGGAGCGCTGACCGCGCTGACCGCTCCTTCTTACCAGGAGCGAGGACGGCTGCAGCACCGAGACCGAGGCCACAAAGGGCCAGGCCAGTGCCGGAAGAGGCTGACGAGGCCTTTGCCTGGCCATGGGCGCTGCGCAACGCGGGGGAACTGCGTGCGGTGCTAGGCGCGGTCACGAAGGCCGTGCAGCCCACGGCCGCCATGGCCGCCACAGCAACCTGCTGGGTAGAGGGAGCCATGGTCCTAATCTTTTCTAGGACGAAACCGCAGTCTCACACTCCAGTGCTCGTCTAAGCCAAAATGGCTGTAGGATTCGTCCGTTACCCATCCTCTGTCCTGAGGCCGTCAAACGCTGACTGGCCTTATGCCACTGGCCACATGTTTGTGAACACATTGGTTTTCGACTCTCAATCTCGCACACTGGCCAGGCTCCACATACATGTCCGTCATGCGAGAGAAGCTGCAGGGCTCATGACATAACCACCGGAAACGGATTGTTTGCTGTCTATCGTCCTGCAATGTATCATGTGGTGAGGTAAGTCCGTTGGCCAAGCATAGCGACAGCATAGGGCAGTCGTCACAGCTCCCCACCTTTCTCCGAATGATCTCGCGCCGGTCCCGCGCACGCAGCAACTGGTCACGGTCGTCGGCGAAGCGGCGGCGGATCTGGTTTGGAGTTGGAGTGTGGTATGAACGCCCAGTCGAGAATTGATACATAGTTCAACGTCGGTGACCCGCCTGCAGCCCACGCCAGTGGCTCTGCAAACAAATGGCAGCTTCGCGCTGGACCTGTTGGAGGAGGACACAGCTGTAAGAGTCGGGTGCGATGACCAACGAAGTGGTGAGATCATGGATGTGTGCTGGTATTCGTGCCTGCTCCGATCCTTTATGGAAGACAGATCGGTCTGAAGCAATCCGCTCATGCTGTTCTCGTGGGGCTTGGGGATCCGGCCTGGCAGAACCTCTTCATGGCACGGAGCACCTCAACGGATCTCCCATTCTTCCACGGTCCCTGTTCTTTCACCGGCAAAGCGACTTGGGACTTTCCGGCTGCAGTCTTCCTCTCTCCTGCTAGCTTCGCGGTTGTTGCTTGCCTATGCAATCGCAGCACTATCTCCAATGCCCCGAGACAGCTCTGACCTTCACACGTGCCGCCCAGCAACGAAACTCGCTGCATTCTTCCTGGCTGCAAAGGATCTCAGCTGCTGAAGCGCTGTGCGCTTCTGCCTCCGAGCAGCCCCGCTGCACAGCATGTCAACTTCCAAACTGGAACACACAAGGCCCATCTGCAATACATAGTTGTAGGACTCAAACAAGGCCGAGCAGTCATGGTTTTCGAGGGACAGTTTGCGCAATCTTGATAACAAGATTAGTAGCTACTTGGGATGTGATCAGCCCAGATCCAACCTAATGAGCTTCCAACCCACAGCCAATACTAGACGACACGAGCTCGCGTTGATATGTGTGCTCAAGACACCGTGCTGAAGCACAGCTAATCGAGGTAGTAGCTATGTATACTCGTCGTCTGTGGGCGAATGTCCATGCCACATCGTAGTAGTTTATGCGCATCCGCTGCAATTCTGAATGCGGTAGCGCAAAGCGAGCTAGCAGCTTGTTCGCCAGTTGCCGGCAGCCTTTGCCGCACGCAAACCATGTGACAACGCCATGCTCGTTGGATTTCCTGCGCAAGACACTTTCCAGTACACTGGCTGGGAGTCGCATAGGCACTTACGTAGTCTGAAGCCGTCTACCTACGTAGATGTCTTCGGAGGTCTCTGTAGAACACTGGAGAAGTCTGAAAGATGCATCATCCTCAAAAATGCATGCAGCAACGCAGCCTCTGCGGCTTGCCGCAAGCGAAGCCGCCATCGAACAGTCAGGTGCATGCCTCATCAAGCTGCCGAGAATCGAGCGGAAGTAACCTTCAAAGCATGAACCCTTCTTCCGGAACAGCGTGGAACAACACATGCTGCATTCATGCACTTCATCTGCAGCTCTTCATACAATACTTTCTATATACTTGTCGCTGCAAGCCCATGGACCACCGCTCTTGTTGGAACGAGCAAGGGACGGCAGCACAGCTCAATGTACGTAGGCATTCCCCGAAACATAAGCTTTTGAGGGTTGTTCGGAGGGTTGTGAAGCCACGCTGCGCCAGCCACGCTGCAGCCTGAAATCAGGCTTTGCAGTAGTCCGATGCAGCTGGGATGACTATTTGCCACGATCTTCAACACTGCCATGCTACATGAACCCCTCGGAACCAGATGTGCAGTCTTATCAGAGGTGCCTCTGTTCCACACATGCAGCTCGTGATTGCAGGTGTAAACCCATACGAGTAGACATGCTGAAGATCCAGTCGATCGATGTGACACCGGAACTAGTGGGTGCAGCCGACTACGTCTCGTGAGCTGCGGTGCCTGTTTGCCGATGAGCGGAGAAGCTGGGCACGAAGGAAGATCCCTCGCCAAACTTTGGCGACCTGCCCGACGATTCTGGGTTTTGGGGGCTCGTTGCTCAACATATGTACGCTTTCATCCATCGCTCTTCAGGAATTCCTGGATCCTCGGGCAGAGATGATGTGCTTAGCTTGAGTGCTTTGCATGAAGGAGTTTTCCGCGCAGGTGTTGCGGCGACACATCCGCAAACATGCTAAATGGCGTTCTGCAGCACACAAAGAACAGTCTCCGGAGTAAACACGAAAGCATTGTGATGTCCCTCAGCGAGTCTTCGAGCTGGCATGCGGCCAGACAATAACAAATTAGCAAACAATTCAAGCACGCCAGACTTTCCAAGTACCCCACCAAAACATCTGCAGCAGCTGTTCGCCCTTCATGCCAGCAAAGTTTTTGTGCACCCTCCTGAAGCAATGCAAATGCTAGACTCTCAGGCCTGTCGTCTCATCAGCTTGCGGAAAAGAATGTCGCGCCACCAGCGCTGCACAAAACTGGGAGCCGAGTGTCAGGTTCGAGTGCAAAGGTTCGGTTCATAGAAAAGTATACAGATGTACATGATGAAGGCATGCCTACGAATATGTATATATACAAATACACAACTGTAATATATATATATATACACACACACGGATATACACATACATAAAAACATATACACATACATATATACGTACACATACATACATACATACATACATACATACATACATACATACATGAATACATGTATACATAAGTACACACATGCGTGCATGCATACATACATACTGTATACATGCATACATACATAAGTAGCTACATACGTACATGCATGCATACGCACATACATACATACATGCATACACATGTACGTACACAAACAGACAGAGAGAGAGACAGACAGACAATCGGACAGACAGACAAGCATGTGTATTAATTGGGTACATACACACATGCACGCATGCTTACATATAGCTTAAACGAGTCTTTCGAGCAACCAAATGTACAAACTACGGCATGCACTGGTTTCAACAACAGAAATTCAGCAGGAATTCAACGTGAACTAAAAGCAATTCTGAGTACTATTAGCTAACAAGGTTGTGAGCGGCAGTTCAAGCAAATTTTCCAACTACAACCACCATTCATGTCGAAGAACATTCATGGCCCCCCGTGGGTCTAACACTCAAATGACATCTTCGGGCTGATGTAGTAGACCCTAAATCGGAACCCACACCGAGTTGGTACTAGTCGGTAGGGTGGGGTAGGATACAGGCGTATATATGTACACATACACAGATACATACATACATACATTTACATACACTACACTACATTACTTTACATCACATACATACATACCTACATACATACATACCTACCTACATACATATTTACATACATGTGTAGTTATGTGTGTGTATGGACATAAATATACAGATGACAGGCTGCGACCACAAAAGGCTAAATGGCCAGCAAGGCCAAAAACCATGGCTGAAATAAGGAGCCCTCACAAATAGCCTCAGTGCCATAATTGCTCCGGCTTATGTCAAGGTCTGCTGGGACTTGTTTGATGCGAAGGAGCACAATGGATGCCCGCAGCGCGCGGAGCCCTCACAGCAGTTTAGGCCAAACATGTGACGGACATGATTGCCTGTGATGCTGTCTGCGACACTCACTATTCTTCAGAATGCAGGATATGAGCCGAAGCCCGCGCCTTGGGGCCCGAAGCAGCTGCAATTACACAGCCACCAGCGGCGCCAAGCACGTTGGATCTTCCTGGAGACGACTTCCGGGCAGAGTGGAGACGGTAGATCTTAATTCGGATAAGACTCACTCAAGGCATACAACTCGACTGTTTATTCGGTCTTCTGTTCCAATCTCCGTGTCGCTGTGTCGGGGGGTTAGAGGACTTGGCATGCTGTCCGGAAAAACTGCTGGGCTGTGCTTGACCAGCCAAGTTTCTCGGCTGCGAAGTGGGCGAGCTTCTTGTGAAACGGACTGAGGCCTGAAAACAGCAGCTTCAATGCAAGGTTCGTTCAATCAAACTGCGCAATCTAGAGCCCACATCTGCCGGAACTCAATGTTTTCTACCGGGATCTTCTGTCTCTTCAAGCCTCTACCTGCTTCGTTTGGTGCAGAACCTACACTGGTGGATGGGGCTACAAGATATAGTTCAAGAGAACTTGTATTCCGGCGCCGGAATGTCGCTGGTGATAGCCGAATGAGGCAGAGTCAATTAAGAGAAATCTAAAGAGGTAGCAGTGTTGACTTGAAGACAACACTGCTACCTCTTTCGCGGGCTGGCTTCCAAAGTCTCAAAATGCTGTTCAAGTTTAACTTGGAAGGTACCTAAGACCTAAGAGCAAGCCCCTACCTGCGTCGGTGGTTGCCCAAGAAGGCAGGCTGTGACCACTTGGAGGCGGAACGGTCGGCGTTCCCACGCGGATGGAGCTGGCGTAGCCCCCGAGATCCACAGAGATGACAGGAATCCGAACCTGGCAGCGACAGGCTGTAAAGTGATGATGATATAGCTGATAACTCTGCTTCTTTGGATATCTGGCGCTGCCCATGTTTGAGCACTACTCAGCTCACCCTGCGCACCGAAAACTCCCATAATGCAAGTAGCCTACAGCAGTCAAAGAAGTTCTGGCCTCCGGTTGGGGCTGGGGCGCAGCCACCGGATGCGGCGGAATCGGTGCATCCGGCCGGATTGGGGTAGACTGCCCTGGGCTTTCGTGACCTGAAAGCCTCGTCCTCCTCTGATACCTTGCCTCTGCGAGGCTCTGAAGTCTTACCTCGTTTTGAGGCGGCGACTTCACTTCAACGTGCTGTCTCATCTCGCCCTGGCTCTGAGATCTTTCCGCTTTTGGCTGCGTGGGCCGCGGGAGCCGCTCTGGCGAGGGCGATGCGGGTCGCCGTTGCGGGCGCTGCATCCATGCTGCGCGATCTGGGGAGGCAGGGCGCTGGCCGGACCTGGGATTTCACTGTTTGCGTCTATGCTGAGCAGCTTCTTGCAATCCAGGCATCATTGAAGTAAACCTGACCATGGAAACTGGTGAGACGAGTTCTTGCATGTCGCAAAGTCATTCACAAGTTTCCGTGCTTTTGTTCTGACAATGACTGCCGACCAACCATCGAAGAGTCGCTTAAGAAACTATCCCTGAGCCTGAATCGCTGACTACTCCCAAGCCATACTTTTAGGCATCCAGCGGCCTTGGGCTCTCTGGCTTCCAGGCCGAGGTGGTCTTCTCCTTCTCCTGACCAGCTCAAGTCTGATCTTGGTCATGCATTGACCCTATGCCTTACTGTCGCTTCTGCTGGTGACCTAAGCCGCATGATCGTATATGATGACCCCGACGAATTCGATGTAGGACTCTAGGACCAGTACTATGGCCCCCTTTAACAGTCCCTGCTCACGTGACAGATCAAGGTCCCCTGAAAGTCAAAAAAAAGCGGACCTTTGGGGGGAGGACCTTCGGCTGCCAATCCCGTGGAGATCGTCGGAGTGCCTGGCAATCCGTCAAAGGGTTCGAAACCAGTGGCTCTTTCAGAGGCTTGATTATGGTCACCCTGAGACTTCTGGAACACTCTTTCTTTTCAAGCCCCACGACGCAGGGGTGCGGAGACTTAACTCAATGCATCAGACTCGATTCCACCTCGTGTCGTCGTAGACTGCATCTCTCTCCCCCCAGCCTGGCCTGGCTTTGAGAAGACCTCGCCGGAGGCACATCTTGATGTGGGAGATGCGCTGCTGCACACGTTCCTTTATTGCAGGCATGGGAATTTCACCGCTTGTGGAGGCCCCCAGCCCCGTTTAAGGGGACACTGCATCTGGTAGGATGTGCTCGCGGATAGGCATGTGCAGGCAAAGCCCAACCAACACGGTTTGCAGCGAAAGGCGGCACCGAGAATGGTGTTTGTTCACTGTTACGCGGCAGCCGTCCCCTGAAGTCATGCAGCCAATCTATTCACTGGAACTGAGGAGGTCCTAGTTGGCTCAGACGCCTACGGAGGACAACCGCCGATGAACACGACGAAGTCTTTCAACACCAAACGCGAAAGTTGCAAACTCATTATCCTCATGGCCAGGACTTGCAGCATAAACAATCCGAGCATGCATCATTCAGATCCCACAGCTGAGCTTGGTGGCTGCTTCCGTGAAGCGGCCCCCGTTGTGTTTTTGCATATGACAGCTGAGTTGCTCGACTGCGTGTCTTCGAGGACTCGGCCGGGCAAGCGTGGAACCGACCTCAGGAGCAGAGCAGAGGAGCCGGCGGGCTAGGTATCTGTGGGGATGGAACACCTTCTGCTCCATAGGTGTCCTAGCCCCCAGCGGACAGACTCCAAAATTTTGGAGACCAAGAGCCCATGTGCTCCAAATCTCTAATCTAGGATCCCCCCAAAAATAGTATAGGTAATTACTAAGGCCCCTTAAAACCCTAAACCCTATATTATGCCTTTAAATGTAGGAACCCCCAAAATAGTATAGGTAATTACTAAGACCCTAAACCCCTTTTTTTCCCTTTAAAGGTGGTGGAGCCCCCTAAACCCTAAACCCTAAACCCCCTTTTTTTCCCTTTAAAAGGTGGTGGAGCCTTCCTTTGCCAAGGCGCCTGAGACTTGGCTTCTCCGAGCTGGGCTCCGGCTTTCGCTCGCGCGGAGCCGCTGGACCCTGTACGTGATTGTTTGCATTCATATATCTTTATATATATATATATATATATACATGTAACAGTTACAAATCGTGATTGTCTTTATTCATATATATATATATATATATATCTCTATATATATATATACACATACATGTTGTATTTAAGTTAGGTGTATCCATTTATATGTATATATACATGTGTATCAATGTATATATATATAAACGAAATATGATATACAATATGATGTATGTGAGTATTTCAAGGCATGACTCCTTTTCGTGAGTCTCAGGCTGATCTCTCATTCGACAGCTCTCCTGTCCTTGCCAACGGGCGAGGCCGTGGGTGTTTTGAAGGAAGCCCGGAAGTGGGTGGCAGCCGCGCCTGACAAGCAGACTGCTCTGAGAAAGCCAATGCCCGATCATCCTCCCTTGAAGTACGCGGGAGATGCTCAAGACCAAGTGTAGGCAGCTCCCAATCACATCCAAGGCTCAGGTTCGAGAGTTTGTCGAAGCAAGCACCTCTCCAGAGCAGGTGGGCTGCGTGGCCATGGCTTTCGGGTAGTACCCGGGGGGGGGTCTGTCATGCCCCATTTGTGAAACTATCCAGAAAAAGGGAAAGAATGGGGGATGCTGCAGCCTGCCCGGGCAAACTCCGACTTTTCCGTGTGGCCGGCACATGCGTGCTGGCATCTGCTGAGCTGTGGCTACCTCACAGCGTCCATGTTTAGTGCCAAGTGGGATCGAAGGGTCAAGGAGGTACATGGGTGCAAAGAACAAGGTACACCGCACAGCTGAAGGGTAGTTAAGAGTGTAGAGTGCAGCACAACATTGAGCCGGCCATATGAGATGAACCGCCCCAGCAGATCTTTGTTGAGGCAACAACACTCATCAAAAGCACAACTTCACAAGCCTATATGTATATACGCAGGATGAAGGTTTGGATTGGATGTCTATGACCGAAACCGATCGCCCGGGAATGATGTCGGAATCATGTGAATGCAGGCAAGATCTCAAGTCTGTCAGATGCGTCATACTTGCCCATTGCTGGGCGAAAAAAAACCGGCCACAGAAGTAACTCAAGTCAAGGGCATGAAATCTCCCTCTGCTTGGACTGCAAGTGACTCTTGGGCGTGTGTGGAGACGGTGACGGCGAGCTCGGGTTAGCCTCTAAGGAGGCTAGGAACCTGAGCAGTCAGTTGGAGAGAAAAACCGTGAAAAACCGTACGTACATGTAGCAGGTCCACATGTCGCAGTATGCCAAGAACAACAGCCACAAAAGCAACGGAGAGGGTTCCCGGGATGCTCGACATCGCCTCCTTTGAGCCTGATCCTCTTATCATGATCTGAACAAGCCTTCGGCAGCAGTGGAAGCAGTCGCTACGCAAGACTCTCAAACGGACCAGGCACTGCAAGGATGGATTTGGACGCAAGGTGCTCCCCTGTCCGTTTTTCAGCCTCAGTGGTCTGTCTGTGGCTATGCTGGTTCGGACCTCGCTATCTGGAGCCCTAGCTTCCGAAGACAGGGAGAGGGACTTTCGGGCTGTGCTTATCTACCGAAGCACGCATCGAGTTCGAGGTCAAACAGTTCCCACGCCAGAGCTGTCGTGAACAGTTGTAGCCCCGTCCCCGGCACCATAGTCAGCTTTCCTCACAACCATTCGGACATGCTACGGTATTGACTCGGCAGCTATGATGTTGCGCAATCGTGAATCTACAAGAAGCCCACAAGCTACCACACTTCATGCTGCCCCGAGGGGCAGAGGAACGCACCGAGCTCGTTGAGACTTGGACAGTTGATCGAGAAGCTGCTTGCGAGAGTCCTGACACAAAACCAGGACCGGACGCTCGGTTTGAGGCCTGCTTTGCCACGCAATCGTCACCGGTTCGGCCCTGCACCTGCTCCGCTGAGGCGAGCATAGCCGGATCTCAAGAAGCCATATTCCAACGCTCTCGGCTCATCTTGGTGCGGGAGTTGCTGTTGCGGTGTCCCGTATGAAAGGATCTGCGGTCACAGACGATGCTATACAGTAGTCTCGTGCCCATGTATGTGATCGGCGTCTCTGGGCCTGGGCTGGTAGAAACCTGAGGACGGGCCTTAGGCGCGACTTGACGTCGACAGCCCGTCTTGGGCCAAAGGCAGCGAGCTCCGGCATTTCGCAAAAACAGTACAGTAGACATGGAATTGAGCTTGTTTCGGTCGTTGTTGCACAAAGGCTTGGTCGTTCGGCAGACTATAGTTCCCACCATCATATGCCTCCGCCCTTGCTGTGAATGCATCTGCTGGCAACTGCTCCGTCTCGCACACGAGACTCTACAGAAACGCAACCAAGTACCACGCATATGTAAAGTATGCTAAAGTGAGGCGCCCGGACTCTCTCACGAGCACACCTTGCTAGCCTCTTCTCTGAGCCTGGCGATGATGATTTGAGACTGGATCCGTGAGAGAGTCCAGGTCGCTGGAGGTAGAAGCAAGCAGGAACACAAACAAGCCTACTGTCCACATAGGTCCGCTCCGACACAGGTAGGTTATCACGCAATTCTGGCTCAATGGTGGCTACACTTCTGAAACCGTGTCAAGCTGCAAGATGTCACTGCTCAAACTTGACAAAGCTTGCACGCGGTCCAGGGCCTTCCGCTGCTAAGACTAAGGCTATACATGCGCGATTCGCCTAAAACAGCCGTGGCTAAGGATGAAGAAAGACGAAGGCAACACGTCCTCAGTGTCCGGGTTCCATGCCCTCTTCCAGTTGTCGGCACCTGGGGAAAGTCAACATCCAAGTCAGACCTCGTCATGAGGAGGCTTGGGACCCTCGTGTGGGGTCCTCCCTACACGACGATCCCTGCACAAGATGGTAAATGTGCCTTCGACGGTGTTCTGCAAAGCGATTCTTTTTGCCTGTGGCTTCCCATACACCTCGGGCCTCGTAAGGCACGCAAGGAACTGACGGTCGCCACATTCCAGGTGAAACTCCGGGGACTGAGGCCTGTTTTGCTCAGCCTTGGCCCACCTCTGCATCCAGCGAGCACTCGAAGACGTCCGAGTACCATTCCTGATGCAAAAGCCAGCTCTCTGGGAACAGCGGAGCTTCGTAAGGCCACTACTGACTTGGAACTTAGGGAGCAATGTGCGGGGATCCACGCACTGATGCAATGGCATGGAGGCCCCAGGGCTATCACTAGATGGCCAGGCACCTCCGGGACCGACAACGGCCTTTACAAAGAGTGGACACAAATCTTGCATCTATTTTTGTGACCTCGATGCACATAGCCCAAGCTGCAGACATGCTGCATGCAAGCATGCCAATACAAAGGCTCATGAAAGTCAAGTTTTGTCAACGCGCAGGAAGCGAAAGGCCGGCCTGATGCACGTACCTGAGTTGGTATTGGCGCCCATGAGATGTTGAGATGTGCCAAAGTAATGACAGACAATTCGACAAGTTTGCACGGCCAGGGAGCTGTGCACCACCAAAGATAAAGAAGGAGCGGCAGCCGCGAGCCGCAGTAGGGGCCACAGCCATGCCTCTCGCAGCGCGAAAAAAACATAGGCTAGATTCTATCCGACCGACTTTGCCAGCACCTAGCGGAAGCACAAATCAAGCTATGTACTCATGGGACTTTCTTTTGCGACACAGTTTCGCACCGCAGAATTACTTCGCCTGCTCGGCGGCATGGGAACTGGCCGATTACCCAGCCATCACCATCCTTCCCAAGAATGCTCTTCCGAGCTTCACAATATGGGTGCACCATGTCGTCTCGTAAGGGCGCCGTGAAGGCTGACAGCAGCAGTTGTGCATGCGATTGATAAGAGGCGTCCTGAACGTCGATGTAGGATAAGTCGTCCAATCCAGGCGCATGCCTGGTCAGAAGCAGCCACAGAGTTTCATACTGTGCGATATAATATGTATATATGCTGTACACTTAGCTGGGCTCCAGAAATCTGGATATCCTCCAAATAATAGACATGCAGAATCAGATGCAAGCATGTTGCTCTGCCCAATTGCTGCATGGAACTCTCTATGTTCCACTGCACCGTAAAGACACATCCACGGGCTATTACATGGTTTTTGCTCAACGATCGTTTCATATTCATCGAATTAGCCAGTCCAAGCCGCCAGTTCATCAACTCGGCCGACTCCTGACGCTTTTCATGTCGGGGCACACTTGGACCCCCGTGCGCGGCATGCAAGCTTGTCAATGCTCGTTGCGTGTAAATGGGGCTTGCGACCTAGTACTACTACGTTGCCAGCAACACTTGAGACGAACTGTAGGCTGCGCAAGGATCTCAGCTCTGGCTGGAAAGGCAAATCCTCGTCAGTCTCCCAGGCATCGTGGTTGGGGGCCGACACCTCTCAGTCTGTCCACACATGGGCTAGCAGCTTCACAATGACTGGATCAAAGTAAACGCATCACGTCACCTATAACGTTTGTGAAAAGAAGACTGTAGTAGCAGGGATGGAAGATAATTAAGGGGGACCTGCTAATGCTACTGCTACTGCTGCTACTGCTTCTTCCTTCTCCTGCTTCAGCTTCGACTTCTACGCCTACTACGACTACGACGCCTACCTTCTGTACTTCTACTGCTACTGCTACAACAACGACGACGACTGCTAGTACTGCTACTACCGCGAAGTCCGTTCCGCCAATTATCGAGCCCCGCTTCTGTACTTCAGGGGGGGGTTGCAGGTTGAGCCCTGTGGCCCCTGCAGCCTGCGGTCACCTGCGTTCCTGGCAGTCTTATGCTCTTGTGGCTTGTAGCAGCTAGCTCGCCTGCACTCCTACGTCCCCGTGGCTCTTGCAGACGCAGCAGCAGGAGCACGAGTAGGACCAGTAGCAGCAGTCGCAGGAGAGGCGCCTCTGTCAGTTGGTCAACGGCAACGATGCGGACGTCGTCATGGATGTCCTCAGTCGGAGGCTCTGGGTCGTTCTAAATCATGAAAGTTCTTTAGGCCTTGAGGAAAATTTAGGAATCTGTGCAGTCGGATGTCGTGTATCTCTGGGCTCTTCTTTCGGTCCATGCTTTTGTTAGTAAAGCTTTTTGGCGCAAACCAATTCTATGTAATACTCGTAGCAAAACTATGAGCCCCAGCCGTGTACAAGTTGGAAAGTCCGAATTGTTACGCTTGGGCAGTTCGCAACTGATGGTAACTTCGCCCCCTCCTTATCTTCAGGATCTTTGCTCAACGAAGGTTGTCAATCGCATGTAAAACAATTTAACTCCGTGTGTGCTTGTGCTCTGGTTTGTGAACTGGTATACCTGTGTACCTGCTGTTGGGCCTGAGTGTGCTCGTCTTATATAATGATGTTGATGTTCAAGACACCAGCATGTACGCACATGTCTATCCCTGTATCCATCTTACTGTTTGCTCGCCTGCGAATCAGCCTGTAGTTACTCTCTTTCGCCCTTCTCCTTCCTGCCTCCACAGAAGCCGTAATGAACCCTTTCCGGACATGTCCGGACCCCGGATTATATGATATGACTTGATATGATATTATAGTATAGTTTTTTGTAGTACGTTATACCATAGTATCTGATGTTTTTATAAGCGCCCTAAGGAGCCAGATCCCAAGGCCGCGACGCGAACGCGCCAGCCTTGAACCTCACGCTGAGGCATCCTCAGGAGCTCCCAACTCCCTCTTTGAGCTTTATACATGTGCCATAGTGGATAATTCAATATAGAATAATATGAAACAGGAGAACATACCATAACATCATAACATAATGCAACAATATACTCTCATGTACTAAACATACGATAAAGTACGTACTATCTTAAAATAAGCCTGTTAGACCTCATGAGGTCTGGGGGGTTAGTTTTTCGTAGGGTCAACATACGGACTGCTGTCGGGCGTAGCGTGTATATAGGGGTCTCAGCCAGATCCTTGTAGTCTCAATTTAGCAAGTTTGAGGGCTCGAAAGTGAAGCTCGAGTGCCTCGAACCGGTGTCAGGAGCATAGGCATTTGGCTTCGTGCTTGCATCGCACGCCTAAATCTGTCGGCCACCAGCAAATATCTACTCCAGGAGACAGCAAAATCACCGAATTGGGTCTCCGACTTGGAGTCTGTGAAAGAAGGCCTGGAAAGAGCGAGCCGCAGCATCCGAGCTGAGATCATGGCCGCACTGGTCCACCCACAATCGTTGCATCGTCGTCTGTGCCATCGTCAACATTCTTCACCTTTCATCGTGGCTCAAGTTTGCTCTGCTGAGAGCACCACTGGGGTACACAAGAGCAAAGCTTGCTGAATGGTCTGCCATCATCAAGTTTCAACTATACGGCGACGACAAGTGTGTACCACCTGCGCCATCGGGTTATCTCATCCATTGATAACTGCAACGGAGCACTGCATGAACCATCGGCTACGGCCTATATCTTACTTGCCGTCATCAGCCCTGGCACCTATCTGCTGCGCTTGATTGCAATGTGTGTCTGCTCAGACGCTGCAAGCATCACCGTGCATCCTTTGTATTCGTTCTTCGACCCTCTCGAAAGCATGTTCTGCTCCATTCTCACTGAGCATCTGTGCGTCTCGGCGTGTCGCTTCCGGGAAAACGAGAGCATATAACATACAACCACAATGCTATGCTATAAATAACGTATAGAGGTCGGTAACCTGCACTTTCACCTAGAGTGCAACACCTGTAAAGATATAACGTATGATGTAAGACCCACCTCAGTCCCCGACCTTCACGTCGCAGCCCACCTGGAGGACCGGGCCTCGTGGACGAGCTCCAACTTCTATAGAGTTACGGGGCAGGTTCTACTATCTGTTTACAGCGTTATAGCGCAGGGATTGAGTAGCTGTTCCATAGTGCCATAACACAGAGGTATTTGGGTAGAGCATGGCACCGTCTCCAAGGTTATCAAAGCCGAAAAGGAAATCGAAACATGGAACGCAGCTCGTAACCTAACTTGGCCAC